TTCTTAGGTTCCTCCCAACCCTGATGTCAGTCCCTTTTTACAACAGTGGCACTATGCAATATTTGTCCTTTTTTGACTGAGATATTTCACTCAGAAAAATGTTCTCCAGAGTCACCCATTTTGTATAATATTTAATTAATTTCTTGCTTTTTAAGATAGCATATTATTCAATTTTGTGAATATACCAAGCTTCTCTAGCCATTCGTTTGTTGATGGGCACTTGGGTTGTTTCTAGCTCTTTACGATTGTGAACAAAGCTGCAATAAACATGGGTGTGCATATGGGTGTGCATTTATCTGCTTGGGTGGCAGTTCTGGTTTCTTTAGGGTATATTCTCAGTAGTGGAATTGCTGAGTCAAATGGCATTTCTATTTCCAACTTTTTGAGAAAGCACCATATTGCCTTTCATAGTGGCTGTACCATTTTACACTCCCCTCAACAATGAATCACGGTTCCAGTTTCTCTACAACCTAAAGCCGGCATTTGGTGTTTGCTGCTTTATTGAATTTTGCTATTGTTCCTGGAGTGAGATGATATCTCATAGGTTTTTTTTATTTGCATCTCTCTTAGAGTTAGGGATTTTGAACACTTCTTCATGTGTTTGTTCATCATCTGAATGTCTTCTATGGTGAAGTAATTGTTCATATTCTGTTCATACCTACAACCAGGATGGAATAAAATAGATGAATGAGACCTAAGAATCAAATTCCTATGCACATCCAAAAACTTCACCAACAGGATAAAAAGGGAAGTCACAGACTGGGAAAAATATTTGGTAATGACATGTCTGATAGGGATTTATATCTAGAATTTATAGAATACTCAAGCACCACAACAAGATAAAGGTAAACAACCCAATTGCAAAATGGGCACAGGATATGAAAAGACACTTCATCAGAGATATTAATTTTGATGATAAAAATCATATCTCATTCCTGATGTCTTTTTATCTGTCCACAAATAAATCTGTATATTTTAACCAGGCTCATGACTTACAGTATATATCCTACACTCAAAACTTCCAGAGCTAACTCAAACTACATTCTCTCTTAAGACCAGATTTATATATTACTTCATTGAAAGACCATGAGAAATTCAAAACATCTTTATTTACAGGCCTGTCATCTCTCTTATGGTGTTTGTTTCTTATGTTTCCAGTTCTGTCTTGTTATTCTCTTTTCCCTTATAATCCAGTGCAACACAGATGGTGTGTTTGATCCTGGATAAGCTATTTTGTGAAAGAAAAAACAAGGTCCCCAGATATTTTTTTTTCTTCACACTATAAATTTTGCATTTGGCTAACATATCTGGTACACACCAATATTGCTTGTGCCATTTTAAATCAGAGCCAGTATAGTTATGACAAGTATTCCCATGATTATATAAGCATGATGAGCTTCTTGAATATTGTATTTTTATTTTCTTTATAGCAAGGGAAATGCATGCTTCTTGCTTCATGTTGTTGTGTGCTGTTCAGTCAGAACTGACTGATAGCTGGCCTTCCAGTTAATTTTTAGAAGCAGTATATTGCACAGAGAGAGATTTTCCTATATTTTTGCAGAGCAAAATATGGTAGATCCAAGCAGTGTCCCTTTAGTATTACAGGGCAGGTTGTTATCACTAGGCCATTTGACATGTTGTTGTTGTAAATAGCTTCACTACAAACTCACCTGGTATTGATACTTTTGAATCTATTAATTCCCACCAAAGTCAGCATTCTAATAAAAGCCTAGCACATAGAAATCATCGATCATCCCTCTTTGGACTCTTTTACTTGTCTCTAGAAAAGAATATAAACTTTTCATTATGAGCTGGAAAGCCAATGTCACTTTTCCTCTACTTATCTAAGTCATATCTGGCATTTTCTCTCTATTTAGAATATTCTCCAAGTATCCACTTCTCTCTCAACATACATATCACATTCTTAGATGTTTCCTGACCCTTAGACTGTGTTAAAATCCTTTTAAAAATTTATTTTCAACTTTGAGTCTGTAAAGTACTTGTCCTATCATAAGGGTAATTATACTTTATAAGGAATGGTATTTTCAATCATTACAATAGAACCAGTTCTTTTAGTATTGAAATTAAAACCATTTAATTTTGTTTTATAATATCCATAAGGATTAGGGTGGGCAAGTGTTTGGTCTTGATCTCTATGGTATCCCTAAAAACTGATTGTGTCCTTAGACAAGAGCTCAAAAACTCAACTTCTTTCCATGAAATCAGAGCCAGTTCATGGCTGACCGCAAGTTTAGATTTCTGTGGTTATAAACTTCATGGGAGGAGATTGCCCATTTTATTTTCCCCCCAGAGGGCTGCTGTGGATTCAAACCTCCAGAAGGGCAGGACCTTTGGGTTAGCATCCCAGCATCCTATAGACTACACTACCAGAGCTTCCTGTCTAGCCAGTTCTTATTGTTAGATGCCATCAAATTGCTAATGACCCATGATGACCCTATAAACAACAGATCTAAACTTTGCCGTGTCCTGTGACATCTTCCCAATCTCTTCCATGCTCGGGTTACAGCCGCTGTACCTGTCCAACTCCTTTATGGTTGACCTCTTTTTTATTCACCTTTTACCTTTCCAAGCATGATGATTTTTTCCAAGGACTTGTATAACTTCTGACAACACGCCCAAAGTATGTAAGACAAGGTTTCATTATCCTTGCCTCTAAGGATGGCCCTGGTTGCAATTCCTTGAAGATGAATTTGTTTGTTCTTTTGGCAGTCCATGGAATATTCAGTATTCTTCACAAGAACAATTCAAAGGCATGGATTCTTCCTCTGTTATCCTTATTCACTGTCACATATTCAGATGTATAGAAAGTAATGGAAAATACCATTATTTTAAAGCACCTGGGCTTTAAGTGGAAATGTTTACTGTTGGAGAGGCCTTTGATAGCAAATTTTCTCAATGAAACATGCCTTTTGATTTCTTGACGTTTGCTACCATAAATAAATGTAAAATGAAATTGTTGACAAATTCAATCTTTTCTCCATCAGTCATAATGCCTCCTATTTGTCTCATAGTGTTCTTTGTACTGAGATGTAATCTTTATTGAAAACTGTAGTCTTTGAACTTCATTAGTGATTCGAGTTTTCTTGACTTTTACAAGCAAATTTGCGTCATCTACCTAATGCAGGTTGTTGATGAGTTTTCTTCCAAGTCTGATGCCACATACCACTTCATATAGTTAATGAAATAACTCATTAAATTAATATACATGTATGTTCAGAAATATTTGACCATATAACTATGTAAGACTGTATGTGCAGTGATTTATCCAGTAATAGAAATCATGGCCTTTTTACATATTCAAATTGATATTAATAATTATCTGAGTTACCACCACTATAGTGAGCAGAGTCAGTATAACAGATAATTATCATGTTTGCTATAATTCATTTGTAACCAAATTAAGTCTATTTGAACCTGGTGGCCTAGCGGCAAGGAGCTGGATGTCAACCTAAAGGCAGGTGGTTTGAGTCCATCAGCTGCTCCGCACGATAAAGATGAGATTTCTCCTGCCATGATTTTTAGAGCCTTTGAAAACACACTGGAGTGTCAGCTATATGAGTCAGTTCTAACTTGATGAAACATAACAATGACAGTAACTTTATAGTACTCAAATAAACTAATTTCATATAAGTATAGATTTTTTTTAAATAATAACTTCATCAGATTGCTCAGCTGGTACAAATCACCAATTACTTGATTTTTTCTGTTCCAGCTAATTGTATGTATGTGTGCGTGAAAGTGCATGTGCCTTGAGTAAAGCATAATGCTGATGATGCTTGTCTTTTAAAGATAACATTTAACTGTGGTATCAAATCCACTCAGTTGGTACTATTGAAATAACTTATCATTCTCACTAATGATGGATTTAAAAAACAACAACAACAAAAAAACCACCCCACCTTCCCTTAACATTTAATCTCTGGTTTTTGCTGTGAAAGCTGCCCTCTCCTGTAGGCAGGATTTCACAAATGCTAGACTATATAGAGGATTCCTCGTATTTGTTCTGTTGCCCATCAGATTTTGTTATTTGAAACTGAACTAGATCTTTTGTACTTCATTATAGTTTTAACAGAAGCTGAGTAACTACCTGGGCCTTGTAATAGACACTTTGCAGTTTCTGCATTAGGCACCGTTTAGGTTTCATGCTGTATGTACCATTATGATTAGCTGACCCACAGTGAGTTTTAAGAGGCAGGAGGGAAGATTGCCCATCTGCCTCCCACAAAGCAACTGGTGAATCTGAATCACGTGTTTTTAGGGTGGTAGTGCACCAGCACTAATTTCATGTACTCCTTGGTCATCTCACTGAAGACATTTTATAGTAACTCTCATGTTAAAATCAGGCAGCTCTGGTAGCTTAGTTCAAATCCACCTTCTTCTCTTCAGGATAAATTTCCTCCACTGCAAATAACAGTCTCTCAAAACCTACTGGTGGATCAACTATGAGTCTATTGAAAGTTGATGGCAATGAAAAGCAACAATTACCGTCATACGATTGTTTTGGGTCATAGTAGATTCCACGTTCTTCTCTTTTCTGATGAACACATAAAATAATATCTCAAGGAATATAACCTGATTCAGAGTAACTGCTTCATTGAAAAAAGAAGCAACTTCAAGTTTAAAATATAAAAATCGATATTGAAAGTATATGAGGAGGGAGGGATAATTATGTAAAGGGAAAGACAATATACAATAAGTTTGATTAGATATTTAATATATTAATTACACTAATCAGTTGTAATTAATGTTATAAAATGAGATAATGTCTATCAATGGTCGAATAAAAATATGATTTGTAACTTTTGATTCAAATAAAGACAAATTAAGGGATAAAATTTATGCTCATCTCTTTCCCTATTAATTTCTGTTTGCCAGATTTTAGAAATGACTTTTTTTTTCTCATTTGTGTTTTATAATTTTTCAAATAAAAAAAAACCCATACATTATTTTAATCCACCTGATTTTGTTTTTTCTTCTAGGACTACAATGATGAAATTCGTCAGGAACAACTACGTGAGTTATCTTATTTGAATGGTTCAGAGGACTCTGGTCGTGGCAGAGGCATTCGAGGTAGAGGGATCAGAATAGCTCCCACAGCTCCTTCGAGGTACATTAATATTAAATTAATAATAAACAAGGAAAAGCAATCTTTTTCATCTTAATCTTGTCAATACCATTGCTAGGAATAAATAACAACATTAATAACAACAAAACCCGCAGTATGTTGTTGCTGTGTACCATTGAGTGAGAACCAGCCTATAGTTAAATCTCAGATGAGTTTTCAGAAGCAGTTACTTTCAATAGAGGATATTGCCTGTCTTTCTCAACAGCTGGTGGATTTGAGCTGCCTGCCTTTAGGATTACAGTGCAGCTTCTTATCACCAAGCCCCTAGAGCACATTCGATATCTATATCTATCTCTCTATCTGTATCTATCTATACTCATTTCATTCATCCAACCACCTAGGTTAATATTTTTTACATTGAGAAGTCAAGATTCAGCAAAGCATAAGAAATCTGCTTAATGTCACATAGAATGTTGGACTATAAAATTCTAGTATACCTGTTTGAACCTTAAACAGTTAACTGCTCTAAGAAAATATGAGCAAAGAATCTTGGTCTTTCCTATCTCCTGATCTAGTTTGCATAGATGATATAATACTTTGCCTCATTGAACTAAGATGACCTGGCAAAAAGCTATCACTTTTGTCTATGCCTTATGTGACTTTTGAATTCACATAAATGAATAAATGATAGATGATTATGTATGTAGATAGGTGAGTACATACATAGATTGATAGATGCCACATCAAACTGATTTTTATTCACTCTACCCTACAGAAGCAGAAAGTAAGATTTCCCCATAGAGCTTCCAATATATAAATCTTTATAGAAACAAACTATTTTATCTTTCTTCTGTGTAGTAATTGGTGATTTCCAACCATAGTTCTTTGGATTATTCATTGAACACTGCAGGGCTCCTCAGACAAATGGATAATAAATATGTTAGCAGTCCAGAAAGTTAGAGGTACACGTCTTTGATGACTGATACTTAAAAGGTACTTAACATTCATATACATCGAAGTGACATTGTTGATGAATCTGGATATTATAGATTAGATTGTTGCCCTCTTTGCAAAGACATTGGATTTTCTTCTTTGCCAGAAATTGTTTTGTAGGATTCCAAATATGTCAAGTTTCAATCTCAGTTTGCATGAAGGTAGAGTGAAAATCTTCATAACCTTTACTATAAACTTTGTGATTCAATAATTTTCTTCACCCAAGTGCAATTAGCTTTTAAATCTCTAAGGGATATAGATTTGAACATTATGCCTTATATTGGGTAGAAATTATGCTGAAACATGATCAGATTCTTTTGTGATTCAGTTTAATTTCTTTTTTAAAAGAAATTATTATTTGTGTGCGTGTACCGTCAAATTGGATCTGACTGGTACATGAGGAGATTTCCCCTCCTTTTCCAGCAGACTCAAACCATGTATCTCTGGGATTGCAGTGCAGCTTCTTGCCATTAGGCCACCAGAGCTCCCTCAGTTTGATTTCTAAATTATGACCTAAACATTTTCAGTCACAATGGCTGTAATGTTGTTGTTGTTGTTGTTGTTGATTGCCTTCGAGTTGAGCATGATTTATAGTGTTCCTATGAAAAAAAGGCCTGAAGCTCCTCTACAACTATCAACATTTATCAAAGTTCATAGAGTTTCCAGATACATGTTATTTAAGACATTAAACTCATAGCCATCTCAAAAAGTTTGTCTCTTGTCAGAATGTATGAGCAATATATTTTCAAGTAACACATAAAATATCATGGCAATTCCAAAGCTAGATTTAATTAAAGTAAAATTGTGGAAATATTCTGTATTTTAATTTTACATTCTTATCTTTAAAAATTAAACTATTGCTATTAATGGTCAATTAAGTATTGTTAAGAATGAGTGTAACAACACCTTTTATAGTCATGCTTTCAATAGAATCAATCTTTCATAAAGTCTTGCACATTTCTAACATCAATCCTCTAAGTTGTAAGATGATATAGTAGTAATAGATCTTAGCGAATTAAATGATATATATTAAATAAAATGAAATTTGTAGTTTTTAAGTTAAAAAATTGTAAATTTTGACAGTTGTATGTGGAATAACTTAAGTATATCCCGTATTTAGCATGCATATAAAGGAGATGAGTTTCTTCAATATGGTTTTTCTTGAACATTGAAACATTTCTTTATAATCATGCATTTACTTGCTATTAAATGTGTAAAATTATTATATAGCTAGATTTTGCTTGGATACTTCCCATAATGTAGTGTTGCCTTACTATATTAGAATGAACCATATAAGATTTTTATATCAGTAAAGCTTTCATTTAATTATTTAATCTATTTCATAATTTAATAAGTAATCATAAATTAGAGTCTAAATTTTAAATTTTCCTTTGAAGAAAACTTTGATCAAAAGTTCTGGGTTTTAATATCTCATAAATAATACAGACACTGCATGCATAGTAAAATATAAATCAATGCTGAAAGTCAAACCAGCTTTAATACTATATTAAAATTGTTAATGGAATTAGCATTAATGTTAATTAAATGGGGTGGAATAAGGTTGTCTGAAATGTGTCTAATGTTTAGAGGGAATAAGGAAATAGCTTCACAAAACAGAAAAATCATATTGATTAGAAAGCTGCTGAAAACATGAATGAATAGGTGCTAGAGATTGTCTGCTCTTATCTGTACCATGTGTGTCTGTCTGTGCTTTGTTAAAGCAGAGCACCCAGACTAAGGCAGAAGGATTGACCAGCTGCATCTGAAATAACAGGCCTTTGAAAACCTTTAGACCACAGTTAGGCAGATATAACACTGAAGGCAGAGCCTTTAATTGGAACACACTAAAAATTGAAAAGAAACAACTGCAAACACCCATTAATAAATGGAACATGGAAAGTATGAATTTAGGAAAGTTGAATGTTGTGGAATTTGAAACAGAATGCATAAAAACTGGCATATACTAGTGACCTGAGATACAATGGCATTGGCCACATTGAATCAGATTGTATAATCTACTCCACCAGGAATGAAAAAAATGAGAAATAGCAGAATTGCATTCATAGTAAAAAAGATAATTTCTATACTCATCCTGAAGTACAATGCTGGGAGTGATAGGATACTATCTGCATGTATGTGAGGAAGACTTGCTAATACAATTATTATTCAGATAAACCATATAACAAGTACAATAAAACAAGTAAACAATATAACAGTGAAAGCCAGACAGGAGGAAATTAGCTATTTCTATGAACTTCACCTCTTCTTTATTATGCTTCATTCTGGTACTTTCCACACACCCCTATATGTTTCCTCTCTCTCACTACCAAACTCTTTTCAACTTCCTGATTTCCCTCCCTTGCCACCCTTAGCATCACAGTCCCCTTCCCTTCTCTCTTTGTATATCCATACACATCTCACTGGTTATCCTTCCGTTTTTACAGTAATATTTTTTTCTTATGTGTCTGAGTTAACTCAGCATAATGTTCTCTAGCGTCTTCCATCTTATATGCTATTTTCCAGAATTGTTGCTTCTGAGTAGTACATGGTATTCTATTGTGTGACTGTGCCACAGTATCTCAATTGAGTAATATGTTGATGGACATTTGAGCTGTCTCCGTGTTCTTGCTATTGTGAATAACGCTACTACGAACATCAGTTTACAAATCTCTGTATCTCAGTTGCATCTTCCTTCAGGTATATTTCGAGCAGTCTTACAGTTGGGTTTTATGGAATCTCTTTGTTCAGCTTCTTCAGGACCTGCCACACTGCCTTCCAGAGTGGACGTATCATTTTACAGTCCAGCAAACTATGTATGAGAGTTCTAATCTCTTCACAATCTCTCCAGCATTTGTTGTTTCCTGTCCTATTACATTTTGTCACTGCAACTGGGGTTGTTCTTGTTTGTTGTTATGTGCTGTTGAGTCGTTTGCGACTCATAGCGACCCTATGCACAACAGCCCTAAACCCTGCTCTATCCTGCGCCAACCACACTGCCTCTGACACACCCATCGCGATTGCCCCAGTCACCGAATCAATCCATCTCATGGAGGCCTTTTTCTCTTGCCCTCCATCCCCCCAAGCTTGATATCCTTCTCCAATCTTTCCTTACAACAAGACCAAAGTATGTTAGACAAAGTTTCAGAATCCTTGCCTCCAAGGAGCAGCTTGGTTTAATCCTGTCCAAGATGAATCTGTTTGTTTTCCTGGCAGTCCATGGTGCATTCAGTACTCTTCTCCAGCACCACAGTTCAAAAGCATCCACTCTCCTTCTGTCCTCCCTAGTCATTGTCCAACTCTCTGATGCATAACAAGCGATTGCAAATACCATGACCTGTATCAGGCGCACCTTAGTCTCCAGAGAGACACTGTTGCTCCTGAGTACTTTAGAAAGGTCCCTAACAGCAGACCTTTCCCATCGCGATACGCTTTTTGCTGCAACTGGGGTAAGACAGTTTTTATTTGCATCTCTCTTATTGCCAGTGATTTTGAGCATTTCTTCATATGATTGCTATCTTCCTCTGCAAAAGGTCTTTCCTTATCATTTGCCCATTTTGTAATTGGGTTATCAGATTTTTTTTCTGGAGGCCCTATAGTATTCTGTAATATTGCTTTATGATACTCTTGTCTGAGATGGCATTGGCAAATATGTTTTCCCTCGGACAGTTTTTCTTTTCACTCTATCAGAAAAGGTTTTTGTTGTGCACAAGGATATAATCTTTAGAAGGTCCAGCTCATCACTATTATCCTCTCCAAGGTGTGCTTTCTGACTGTATTTTTCAGCCTCTTTTTAACCATAGGTGGGGATGTCTAAATTTCATTCCAATTTGTTTCTTATGATCTTTGTGGTTTTGATCTCCTAGGTCCCTAGGTCTCCACTCCATCTTTTTTTTTAAAGAAAAAAAATATATATTTTATACTGGTTTACATATAAAGGTCATATCTATTGTTTTTCACATTGGACCTTTTCCCTTTCCTTTACGAATCCCTCCCTCCACCCATCAGATTTTGAGACCCTGTGTTTAAACCCTTCGCTCCCCTCTTAGGAT